GTCATGTATAGATTTGTGTTGCTCCTAGTTGTAACTTCTTTGAGATTTTGATATGAAGGGATGATGAACATTGTCTAAGGCTATTTCTGAATCTATAGAAATGATCATCTGAATTTTGTTCCTTTTATTTGCTTTATTAGTTGTATGGATTGGCATTTGTTTAAGTTTCCTTGTAGCCCTGGTTGTGGTGTTTGAATGTGTTCTTCAGTTCAACCTGCAAGTGTTTTGTTTAAGTTTTTGTGTCTATGCTTATTAGGGAAACTAGTTTATAGCTTTCTTTTTCCTGTGTATTTATTTAGTTTTGGTAGTGTGGTAATACAGGCTTCATTCAGTGAGTTTGATTTATTTTCTGTTTTATGGAACAATTCAGGTAGAATTCATTCTAATTCTTCTTGGAAGGTCTGGGATCATTCAGCAGGGGGCTTGTCTGGTTCTAGGCTGTTCATTGTTGAAAGAATGCTTGCTTCTGCTGCAGTCTCGTTACTTGTTATACAACTGTGTGGTGGACTTGGAAGAAAATGACCACCAAAGGGAGTGGCACTATTGGGAGATGTGACCTTGCTGGAGGAAGTGTTTCACTGTGGAGGCAGGGTTTGAAGTCTCACATATGCTCAAGCCATGCCCAGTGAGACAGACTACTTCCTGTTGCCTGTCAGTCAAGCTGTAGAACTCTCAGCTCCTTCTCCAGCACCATGTCTGCCTGCATGCTGCCATGCTTCTCACCATGATGACAATGGACTAAACCTCTAAACTGTAAGTGAGCCACCACAATTAAATGGTTTCCTTTGTAAGAGTTGCCATGGTCATGGTGTCTCTTCAAAGCAATTGAAACCCTGACTAAAGCTATTTTTAAAAATTCTTCACTTAATTTTGGTAAGTTATATGTGTCAAGGAATTATTGAATTTTTCTAGGTATTTATTCAGTCTTTTGTAAATTTTCAAATTATTTCTTAATGATCCTTTGAATTTCATTGGTATCTGTCATAAGGCCTTTTCTTTCATTTCCAGTTTTATTAAATTGAAATTTATCTCTCTTTTGGTTAGTTTGAATAGGTATTTGCCAATCTTGTTTATGTTTTTCTAATAACCAACTTCTTGTTCTATTGGTTCTTTGTATTATTCTTTTAGTTTCCATTTAATTAACTTTTGTCTTGACTTCATTATTCTTTTTATTTGCTGCTCTTGGGTTTGGCTTGTTTTTGTTTTCCTAAGACCTTGAAATGTATCATGAAATTTTTTATTTGAGATCTCTCTATTATTATTTATTACATGACTATATGCATGTAGGTGAAGTTGCTTGCAAGAAAATAGCATCTGATACCCCAGAGCTGTAGCTATAGGTAGTTGTAAGACATCTAATGTGACTGGAGCTGAATTCAGATCCTCTGCAAGAGCAGTAAGTACTCTTAACTGTTCTACCATGTCTCCAGTCCAATATATATTTAAATAGTTGTACTTAAAACTTTCTCCTAAGAATCTAATAAGTTGAACTTTCTTTTCAATTGATTTTGGATATTTTTTATTTTCCTCTGTGTGTTCTTCAAGGATCATTTAAAATGATATTGCTCCATTTCCATGCATTTGTTTAATTGTGGTTTCTCATACTATTAGTTTTATTGAATCATGAGCTAAAAAACACATTATTTTGATAATTTGGGTATTTTAAAGACTTAGTTTTTTTTGGCCTCAAATGTGAGCTATTCTCCAGAACCTTCTGTGGGCTGTTTTTTGGAAGTAACTTTCAATTCTACCTTTGAGTATACTGATTCATTTCCTGTTTGCTCGAATCTGCCTTTGGGCTTCATCAGTGATTTTTTTTGTTGTTGTTTGTTTGTTTTTTAGTGCAAAAATTTGATACCTTTAATCTGGATTTACTTCATTGCTGAACAGATGAAGATGCTTTGGCAGGTTTGGGAGAAAATGAGAGACTATGGAGTCTGTGTTTTTCTGTGCCCGTGCTCTTCCTCCCTTGGGCTTTTTACTCTCCAATCCCTGCCTCTTTAAGAGCCCATTGTCCTCCCCTCTGCTCTTTAGAACAGTACCTAGGACAGGATCCACGTGTTGCTCAACACAGCTTGGGTGTTCCCAGAGCTGTGGGCTCTGCATCTCCAGGGCAGTCGGGGGCTTTTAGGCTTTTCTCATACAACCCCACACTGTGGCCGGGGCCCAGTGGCTACTCAGATGCCTTAGTTACAGTTTCTACTGCAGGATGAAACTCCGTGACCAAAGCAACCTAGGGAGGAACGAGCATGTTTGGCCTGTCCTTCCACATCACTGTTCATCCCTCAGTGACGTTTTCATTTCAATTATTGTGCTTTTCCACTCCAGAATCTGCTTTTGGTTTCTACGTTTCCTAGCTCTTTATTGACGTTTCTGCTCTTACATTGTTATCCTGACGTTCCCCACGCTGTCTTCTACTTTTCTGAGTATTTCTAAGATTGCTTTCAAGTTCCAGTCTAATAGATCTTCCAATAGTCCTTCATCAGAGATAATTTCCATTGATTTAGATTTACTTATTTTTCCTTGGGACAGATCATGTTTTCTTATTTCTTTGTATGCCTTGCAGATTCTTCATTTCTTTCTTTCTTTTTCTTTCTTTTTGTTGTTGTTGTTGAAAACTGGGCACCCGAATCCAATAATGTAACTTAGAAAATAAGATTATCTGCCTTCAGTTTGCTGGGCTCCACTGCTATTTTTGCCTATTCTTTTTTTGTTTGCATTGTTCTAGGCTGTGTCTTTCTTCTCATGTCTGTCTAGCCTAGCGCCTTTCCCTGAGCATGTACAGACACTTCCCAGCTAGGAGGCAGGCCTGTCTGCAGCAACACAAGGGGTGAAAAGGTGGCTTTCCATTGCTTGGCAGCTCTGTGGTCAGTGGCAGCATGGCACAGTTCTTTGATATGGGGAGGAAAGCTTTTTCCTCGTCCTGGTTCTCAAAGCTGTATGCAAAGCTACTGCAGGAACACCTGCATAGCCTCTGCTTTGAGGCTTGAGAGGAAGGATGGGAAGCTTCTATGGGCCTAACAGCTAAAATTGACCATAGCTAAATGATTTGTCTCTAAGAGCCCCCCCCCCACAATTACAAGCCTTTAATAGAGTCTAGAGTTCCAAAATATTCGCAGCAGATTCTAGAAGTATGGTTGTACTGGCTAGTTTTAATTCAACTTGACACAATCTATAGTCATCAGAGAGAAGGAAGCCTCCATTGAGAAATTAATTAGTGATTGTAGGTAGTGCCATCCCTGGGATGGTGGTTCTGGGTTCTATAAGAAAGCAGGCTGAACAAACCACAAAGAGTAAGCCGGTTGCTCCTCCATGGTCTCCACATCGCCTCTTTCCTCCAGGTTCCTGCCCTGCTTGAGTCCCTGTCCTGACTTCCTTTGATGGTGAACTGTGGTGTGGAAGTGTAAGCTGATGAAACCCTACTCCTTCCCGCCTGCCCATGTTGCTTTGGTCATGGTGTTTCACAGCAATAGAACATTGACTAAGACAATGAAGACAATGGTATTTCTACAAAGGGGTGAGGGAGGCAGGTTCTTTGTGCTTTCTGCTCTGCTATCTTCTCAGAACCCTCTATTTTCCTCCTGTGGTGTTGGCAGACTAAGGGTGTCACATACATTCAGCAAGCACTCTACCCCTGAGCCAAATCCCCAGCTGCATAAAAGTAATGTATCTAATTTTGTAGTATAAGTTACGAGGAAAGAAGGGCAGATAGTTTTTTTTAATCACTAATAAAACCCAGCATTTATGTCTCTCCACTGTGCACCAGGCTGTATCTTAGCTGCTTGATATACATTGTATAATTTGATCTGCAAAGTTATGGAATTGGTACCATGGTTGTGTCTGCTTTGTATATGAAGATAGTAAATGTTTTTTTTTTTTTTTTTTTTTTTTGGTTTTTCGAGACAGGGTTTCTCTGTGGCTTTGGAGGCTGTCCTGGAACTAGCTCTTGTAGACCAGGCTGGTCTCGAACTCACAGAGATCCTCCTGCCTCTGCCTCCCGAGTGCTGGGATTAAAGGCGTGTGCCACCCACGCCCGGCTGAAGATAGTAAACGTTAAGGAGGTTAACAGCACCGGGGCTGAAGAGGTGGTTCAGTGGTCAAGAGCACTTGTTGCTTTTTAGGAGGACCTGGGTTCAGTTCCCAGTCTCAATATGGCAGCTCACAGCTGTCTATAACCCCAGTTTGAGGAGATCTGACACTCTTTTCTGACCTCCGTTGGCACCAGTCATGTACATGGTGCACATACATACAGGTAGGCAAACACTATATACATATAAAGAGTGGTGGTGCATCTCTTTAATCTCAGCACTCGGGAGGCAGAGATAGGCAAATCTCTGTGAGTTTGAGGCCAGGCTGGTCTACAGAGCGAGTTCCAGGATAGCCAGGACTGTTACACAGAGAAACTCTGCCTTGAAAAACAAAACAAAACATAAATAAAATAAAACAAACAGTAAAAAAAATCTTTCAATTACATATCATCTCATGTCTAGTAAACAACAGGAGTGAGATTTAAAAGAAGATATGTCAAACTTTAGAATTGCATCCTAACTGTCCTGCCTGTAGTGTCGCATAGTAAAGAACAGTGCATTCTGAATTAGCCAGCCTTTCCTCCCACAGTAATGCTGTGTTATTGTGGATAACAACATTAGCACCATTTATTCTTGTACTCAACAATTCGTAGATCAACTGTGGTTTGACCGAATTGGTTGATTGCTGCTGTGTTTATAAGTATTTAAGATGCAAATCTGATGTTATATGTCGTTGTTGGTTTGACTTTTGAGTTTCAGACTATGGAGACATGAGCTACTTGGGTGATGCCTCAAGGCAGTTCATCAGTGTAATAAGGTTGAAGTGAAACCAGCTTAATATACTTACAAGAGCCATAGCCACAAACACATCACTGATTAAGGTAAATCGTACGGGGGGACCCAACGCAAGCTCCAATTGGGATGAGGGAGTTAATACTGACTAAATAATAACAGAATACATGCAATCACCTTACTATTTATTTACTTTGACTTGTAGGGATCTTAATTCTTCCCACACAGGCAGGGGTCACTTCACCTTTTCTTCTCTGCAAAGCTCCTCTAAAGCGGCTATGAAGGTGTCGGTTTCCTGAATGCATTGTGGGTTGATGCTGAGCTGAGCACCGTGGAACTTGGGATGATGCACTTGTTGGCAGATCTCACCCTCACAGTGCTCTTCACTGGATTCCCTGCCAGATACATAAAGGTGTTTATATATTTTTTAAACCATGCAATAAAAGTTTGATTTCCTCAAGAGCAATGCATTTTCTGGAAGCCAGAGGCACTTGTGAAAAACTCTTACACAGAAGTCTAGAAGAAGGTCCAGAGCTGCCTTCGAGGGCACTTAGTTCACCCATGTCATTTTCCAGATGAAGGGACAAACAGCTGCAGTTTGAAATTTCCAATCCTCATATACACTAGGCCCAGGGTTTCTTTTTTCTCAAGTAACAGTATCACTGAAAAAAACTCTGGTGTAACCTTTATATGTTTTACTGCAGTCATAACCCTCAACAGAGAAAGACCCTGTTCAGTTCACTTTATGAGACTCTTGACATGACTCGATACCTTTGTCACTACAACCTGAATGCTATGCAAAACAAAAAGGAAGTGTTCCCATTTCTCTTTGTAATTTTATGGATCTTCCACTTTTAGGACCATCAGAATGACTGAGAGAAGTCTGGTCACCAGCTCCAGTGTCCTGAGGACATCCAGGGCTGTTTCCACAGGGGAAAGGGGAAGACAGGCACCAAGTCCAGTTTTCCAGGTAAAGAATTTTAAGTACTTTTTAGGCCAATAACACTCATTATTGAGCACTGGAGACTATCTAAGGCAAAATGGGATTTATTGCATAAACATTTTTTGACTCTCTTCGACATACTTAGACCTGGTACTGCCTATATTAAGATTAGGCTGTGAACAAGACGGGGTGAAAAATCCTTGTGCAAATGATATTTCTGGTTCACAGCCTAATAAAAATGTATGGCCGGGCAGTGGTGGCGCACGCCTTTAATCCCAGCACTCGGGAGGCAGAGGCAGACGGATCTCTGTGAGTTCGAGGCCGGGCTGGACCGATAGCCTCCAGAACAATACAGAGAAACCCTGTCTCCTAAAAACCAAAAAAAAAAAATGTATGTTTGTGCTTATGTGTGTGCTCACCCATGTGCTTGGTAATGAGAACATTGGAACTCTATTCCCATAGTGAATTTCTCGTTATTAAGTATATGTTATTAAATAATACACTGTACTTAGTTGTATGTACTTGTCATTAGTATGTTATTAAGTATTTTTTGTTAAGTATGATTTTTGACAGAATGCAGTAGCTCTGCAGGCTTTTCCTGCATACTGGAACCTTTTAATCTTTGACCCGTGCCTTCCTACTTCCTCTGCCTCCACATTTCTTCTGGTAACCAACATTCTTTTCTCTGCTTCTATATATTCACATGATGTTAAAAAATAGCAATTAAACGAAAACCAAAAAAAAAAAAAGGCAGTTAAAGTTATGTATCATACCATTTCACTTTTGTTTGTTTGTTTTTAACATTCCTTCCTGGGCTCTGTGGGTAAGAGCACTCCAATGCTCTTACAGAGGACCCAGGCTTGGTTCCCAGAACTCACATGGTGGCTCATAAATTGTCTTTAACTTCAGTTCCAGGGGATCTGACATCCTCTCTTGACCTTCATGGATATTGCAAGTGTGCTGCCCATACATACCACTGTAACAGAAATAGTAAAAACCCAGAGACAGATATTGGGGTTCAAGCTGAAGATCAGAAAAGCAAAGCAGCCAGTCGGTAGCTCTCATGTCTACCAAGGCTGAAATGGAGATCCCATCTTCCCTGTGACTGGAAACTGAATCTCACAAGACCCTTTGCTTCTTCCTTATCTACCTCTCTAGTGCTGGGATTAAAGGTGTGTGATCCCAAGTGCTGAGATCACCATTATGTGAGCTGTTTCTCTTTAGATGCACTTTCATGCAGCCCTGGGAGACCTTGAACTCACAGAGATCCATCTGCCTCTGTCTTCTGAGTCCTGGGAGTAAAGGTGTGTGCCACCCCTGCCTGGCTTCCTTGGCTAACTAGTGTGACTGGCTTTGCATTCGGATCTTTAGTGGCTTTATGAGATCACAAACAACATATCACCACATACCACAGGCAGATACCCACACACGTGCTTCAGGGTTAATGACTTAAAAGCCTCAGGTGGACTTGAGATGCCTGGGCAGGAAGGCTGGGGTCTCTGAGGTTACTTACCTGTAGACTGTGAGGGTCCTGCTGCTTCTAATAATGGGACCACCAGACTTCTATAGAGTAGTATCTACCACTTCAGACTTCTGGCAAATCTTCCATCCCCTGCGATCCCTCCTTTCCATCCGATAAAACCTCCAAGCACCCCAGGCCGTGTCTGCATAAACTCCACTTCTTCGGAGAGACCATGCCCTTTGACTGTTCTGATTAAAGGAAAAATTCTGCTTCTGGAGAGGTCTGTCTTTCTTTTTCTTCCTGGTAGCCTCCATCAATTCTGATTTAATCCATTCGATAAAAATAAATCTTAAAAAAATAAACCCAAACCCTTCTCTCCCGAGTTCTACCGTAGCACCAAGTACATACACGTAGCTGTGCTTTCCCTGATATTAGGGCTAAAGTGTCTCACCTCAATTGATATGGAATATTTAAGCCAAATACTTCTGAATGTGTTGTCACTCAGAGAACAACCACCACAGTGATTGTTTATACTCAGGTCACTGGAGTGTGCCTTAACACTCTATCAGTGATATTCTTATAAAAATGTAGTTTTTGGACTTAGTGACACACAGGGAAATGCTATTGGAGCCAAGCATCCATAAGCTAAGATTGACAGCAAAAACGGCAACACTCTCCCTTACAGCACTCTGACGATCCCAGTTTCTGGTTTTCACTGACTGATTTATCCCTGTCTGCCCAGGCTGCTCTGGGGAAGTGGCAAACATGTTTGTAGTCTGTTTGCTTGCACTCCATCCAGGAGACAGACCCACCAAAACGTATCGAAATCTTCCCCGACCATTGCTAGAAAACCTGGCTTGGAGCCTGAGGGGTTATGTTTGTGTATTTACTCCTTTTCACCAGAACACTATTGAAAAATAAGTGCTGTAAGCATATACATATCACAGAAAAGCAAGCAAGGAAATCCACAGCCCCCATCCTTCCAAATGCAGAGAATTCATACAGGACACTGCTATCAATGAAGGATCACAACTATGGCTTTATGTTTTTGGCTGTTTTTCTCTAGCCAAGTGCGGTAACTACCTAAGCTGCCCTTGGAACTCAAAGTCAGGGAGGCACTGGCCCAGGGAGTTCCTTCCTATATTTGCTTGGGAATGTTTAGACAAGTTTCTGAAGCAGGGCCCTAGATGGAAGGAGCAAAGTTACTGCTGTCACTTCCAGTGAGTTGTCCTGATTCCAGGGTGTGACACAGAAACCAGTCTCACTGTGGTTCACAGGGTTAAGTGAAATCAATAGAAATGAAAGGAACTACACCTGTTTCACTTCCCAGACACTTTGGCCTGTGCCTCAGGCTCTTTCTTACACACACACACACACACACACACACACACACACACACACACACACACACACACACACACACACACACATATTCTCACCCTGCAACCCTGGGGGAGAGCAAGGCAGCTGCAGAAGCCAAAAACTCTCCCCATCCCTAATTAAACTCTCCAAGTCTCCAGGCAACGCAGCTAAGGGAAAACATCATTTCCAAGCTGAAGACCCCCAGCCCCCAGTCCTAGCAGCAAAGGAAACAGGTCGTTTGGTTTAATCAGCCTACGTGCACATTCTCTCTCCCCAGGTTGCCAAGACCGGGCCTGTACCTAGCAGAGGTATTTGTGTAATCAAAGCTTCTGGAACTTTCCCTGCCAAGGCTACCAAAGTGAATAGACTCCTGAGGTAAAAATGTTCCCCTGCTGGGGACGGCGCCCTTGAAGTCTACATCAAAATCAAGAAAGGGTCACAGCTGTTGCGGCACCCCACAGCGGAAAACTTGCAAGAGATCCCAGGCTGCACCGCTGCCCTGCCTCAGGTCGGCAGGAAACAGGCCCTATTTGCCTCAGAGAAGGGGGTGACGGGAGGTGGGTGGAGAGACGGAGAGGGAGGGGTGGGGGAGGAGAGAGAGAGGGAGAGGGAGAGGGAGGGAGGGAGAGAGAGGGAGGAAGAGGGAGGGAGGGAGGGAGGGAGGGAGGGAGGGAGGGAGGGAGGGAGGGAGGGAGGGAGAGAGAGAGAGAGAGAGAGAGAGAGAGAGAGAGAGAGAGAGAGAGAGAGAGAGAGAGAGAGAGAGAGAGAGAGAGAGATTTATTTTCAAAAAAGCCTCCTCTAGTAATCTCCGGGATGGAAGGGCGGAGACCCGCCCCGAGATGAAGGCACCCCACCTACAGTCTCGTCGTTTTTAGCCCTCTCCTGAGAGTTGGGTGTCCTGCATATTGGCTGAAAGCCACTAGATGGCAGCAGATTAACTCTTCAGATGCCAGGATGGGTTTGGGTTGAGTCTGGTCAAAGCAGAGGAGGAGTGATGGCTTCTCCCTTCCCAGGATTCTTGGCTAACCTTCTACAAAGAGGAATTTTTGGTGACCAACTTGTATGGCGGCTGGAGTCAAGATGGAACGCAATTGTGTGTGCTCTAGGTTTCATGACTTTAACGACACTTGGCTTATGGTTCCAGGACTAAGAATGCTTTAATTTTTAATAAATATTAAATATAACAACACGTGAGTTCGTCCCATTTTCCAGACACAGTGCTAATGGTTAATGAAGAGGTCAGGGTCCTTACCCCATGGGAAGATGGCATTAAAAACAAACAGCATTCTTATAGCAGGCCACCTGCAGGACACAGGCTTTGCTTAGCTGTGGACAAAACGGAAAGACTTCAGCCAGTTAGAGAAGGCAGACGCACACTAAGCTTCCATGATGCCGGTTTTATGCTTTTAGGGTGAGCAATGGCCTAAAATGCGGAGGCTATCAGAAAGAAACGCAGCCGGCAGGCCTAGAAATGCTTGCTTGCTTAGACCACAAGGAAACAAATCTTCCTCAGGGGCATGCTGGCCTCTGCAAAGCATTCCCCTGCAGCCCACCTATTACACTTCTGCCACAAATATAAAAATACAGTGGTGGTGATTGGAACAGGGGCCAGAAAGGTGAAACTGATTTACTTCGGGAGGAAAGAGAGAGCTACCGGCCACAGGAGGAATAAACCAGGAAGGAGGGGCAGCAGAGTGAAAAGTTAAGCTTATGAAGGACCAGGGGAGAACGCAGAAAGGAGGGAGGAACTCAGGAGGAGGAGCCATGATATGGGTGATCTACACGACTCACATGCAGTGAAAGGCAATTTGAAGGTTTTTGGCTGAGCCTTTGGGATTCCCTTTGACTCGTTACAAGAGAGTTCAGCGATGATTAAAATGGTCTCACAATTTTTTATTTCTTGGCCTGGAAGACCGCTTAAGACACAAGGCAGCATGGGTAGCGAAACCACTCTCTTCACTTTCCTAGCTGTTTAGGCGATAAGGCACTGACTGTAACCTCATCTTCTTTTTCTAAATAAAAGTCTTTTTAAATGGACACACGCGCGCGAGCTCGCGCGCGCGCGCGCACACACACACACACACACACACACACACACACACACACACACACACACACACGGGCACCGTTCAAACACACACTTGCCCAAATTCTATACAACCCAGTGAACTTCTATATAGTTAGAATAGCCATTCTTAAATTGTGGACTTTTGCTCAGGGTTATATGAGTTTATACTTCAGTATCAATTGTATTTTTATGCAGTTATGGGGAGGGGAAGAGTAAGGAAGAGAGACAAAGAGATAGAGAGAGGGAGGGGGAAATGGGAGATGAGAGAGAGAACCATGCAGAATAAAAACTGGAAAACCCAGTTTTGTATAATTTTATGACCCCCTTGCCCTGTCCTTCCTCATCACTTACTCTCACCCTTTCCTGGTCTCTTTTCTGTATGTTATTCTGTACTCACATGTATGTTTATTTACATACGTACTTGTATAAATTGTGGTGACATTTTATTAATGATCTAACAGATAAAGCTTGCCTGGAGATCAGAGTGCAAAGCTAGCCACACTAGCCAGTCATAGAGGCCAGGCAGTGGTGGCACACACCTTTAATCTTGGCAGCCACACTGGTTAGCCATGGAGGCTGGGCAGTAGTGGTGCATGCCTTTGATAGACTAAATTATAGGTTAGTCAGTGGTTAGGACTCAGTCTGTGTTGAGGGATGTCCTTTTGTGTGCTGTCAACATGTTTCTCTTATTGGTTGATGAATAAAGCTGGATAGAGAAAGGTAGCAGATGGAGTGAAGGAGCCATGTAGCTGCCAAGGAGCCAAGAGACCCAGGCATCACTGGTAAGCCAAGTCCATGGGGAGATACACAGATTAATAGAAATGGGTTAATAATTAAGAGAGAGTTAGTCAGTAAGAAGCCTGAGCTATTGGCCAAACAGTTTATAATTAATATAAACCTCAGTGTGCTTATTTGGGACTAAATGGCAGCATGACTTCAACTACAAGTTTCCACACCATTTTCCTTTTTCTTCCTTCCTTCCTTCCTTCCTTCCTTCCTTCCTTGCTTCCTTGCTTCCTTGCTTCCTTGCTTCCTTCCTTCCTTGCTTCCTTGCTTCCTTCCTTCCTTTCTTTTTGAAACAGAGTCTCACTATGTAACCTTGGCTGTCCTGACCATGTTGTAGACCAGGCTAGTCTTGAACTCAGAGAATCATCTGCCTCTGCCTCCTGAGTGCTGGGATTAAAGATGGGTTACATTACAGGTTAGGATCTCTATCTGAGAGAGAACACTTTTTTTTTCTTTTTGAGATCTGGTGACTTCACTTAATATCATACCTTCTAAATCTACCCATTTTACTGCAAATTAATTTTTTAAAGGATTTATTTATTTAATGTATGTATGTATGCTCTATCTGCATGTATGCCTGCACACCAGAAGAGGGCATCAGATCTCACCTTAGATGGTT